CGCCGCCGCCGCCGCCGCCGCCGCCGCCGCCGCCGCCGCCTGGCATCATAACTGGCTTCTTACATTCTTTCTTGCAGTTGAAGAAAACTTTGCAGACCAGCAAGATGTTCCAGCAGGTAGGAGCTCTTGCTGTCAAGCTTGACAACGTGTGTTCCATCCCTGGAATCGCCATGAAAGAAGGAGAGAACTTAGTTCTACAAGATGTCCCGTGACCCCCATGTGCATGCTGTGGTACTTACATGTCTTCCTCCTGAACAAAATAAATGAATTAAAAGAGGCCGGGGATACGACTCATTTTTTGTATGTTACGCCCTGGGTCTGACCCCCAGCTCCCCATAAACTAGGCACAGTGCTCCTTCAGGGAAAACAAACAAACAAACAAACAAACAAACAAACAAGAAAAATCTAGCTTGGTGTGATGGTATGTGCCTACATCCCAGCACTTCCAGTGTTCAGAGGTAGAAGTAGAGAGAACACAGTAGTTTTAGAAAAAACTAGGCTACATAGCAAGATAGTGTGAGCAAGTGGGGGAGGAAATAGTATTTCCCTTATTAGTGCCTGGTGAGGATTAAATTATACAACCAATAGAAAACTCTCAGCTTGAGGCTGGAGAGGGCTCAGGGATTAATGGCTTTGGCTGCTCTTCCAGAGGACCCAAGTTCTATTCCCAGCACCCACAGAGAAATGTATGCATCTGAAACTCCAGTTCCTTGGGTTCTGACACCTTCTTCTAGCCTCTGTGGGCACTGTACACATATGGAGCACAGATATACATGCAGGTAAAACATCCATGCACATTAAATAAAAATAAGTATTTGAAAAAAAAAAAAGAAAACTCTTAGCCCGGCACCTGGCTTCTAGCAAGTACTTAACAATTATTTCATTCCTTTTAGGACTAGAAATTGAACCCAAGGCCTTCTGCATCCAAAGCACACACTGTACCCCTATACTAATATGCTGAACACCCAGTCTCAGTAAAACATATGGGCCTGTTCTCCCTATGTCCCCGCGCCCCTCAGATTGAACCTCACTGTGGAGTCCTGACATGGAACTTGCTATGTTGCTCAGACAGGCCTTGAACCTCTTTAGGATTAGATATATATAAATATGCACCAGCGTGCCCAGAGGGCCTTGAGCATGCAAGGTAAATACTCTACCACTAAGCTATATCTCAGCCCTATCAGCTTAATTTTCAGTCTGCTCCGGCTACTGTAACAACATACATTGATTTGTAAATAGTCCTCTTTCTTCTTGAAACTGATTATCTTAAAAATAAATAAATGTACTTATGTGTTTTGTTACCATGGCTGCAGAAGGCTGCCCAACAGACCTGAACCTTCTCCATCAGAGTAGACTCCCTCAAGATTTAATCACTTCCCAAATGCCCCCACCTCTTAATAATATCACATGGTTATTAGGCTCCAATATATGAAAACGGGGGTGAGCATTAACATTCAAACCATAGCATGGACCATGTTTTAAAAATTGCAAAGAGTTTAGCCTGGCCAGGTGTTGGTGGTGCCTGACTTTAATCCCAGCACTCTGGAGGCAGAGGCTAGTGAATCTCTGAGTTCAAGGCCAGCCTAGTCTACAGAGTTCCAGGACAGATTTGCAAAGTTAGATATTAAATAAAACATTTTTGTTGTTGTTTTGAGGTAGGGTCTTTCTGTGTATCCTTAGGCTGTCCTGGAACTCCCTACTTGGAATAGGCTGTCCTTGAACTCAGAGACCCACCTGCCTCTGTCTCTGCTGGGACTAAAGGCATGTGCCACCATGGCCAGAAATTGCATGTGTGTTTTTTTCTTTTTTTTCTTTTTTTTTTTCCAGACAAGGTTTCTCTGTGTATCCCTGGCTGGCCTCGAACTTACTGTGTAGACCAGGCTGGCTTCAAACTCAGAGATTTGCCTGCCTCTGCTTCCCAAACGCTGGGACTAAGGGCATGTACCACCACCACCACACCGAAATTACATGTTTTTTAAAAGCAACATAAGCAGTTACCCTTAATTCTAAAATCCTGTCGAGTACTTGTGCTCTCTATGATTAAATGTCCTTTATCTTTTTCTTTTTAAGTGTGATATCATTTTAGTTGCTGCTGTTTTTCTTGTACCATCTGCTTCCTTATATCAATTAGCAAGCTATTCCTGCTGCCAAAGGAACTTTCCAGACTTGGTTTAAAAAACACCCAAACTTTGCATATGTCACAGAGGAAAACCAGGTTTCAGCTGGGTATTATTATGGTTAGGTTCTTAGAGCATCTTTTTCTAATAACAGACTCAAAGAATCAGGAATCCTGCCTCCGCCTTTAATCCCAGCATTCAGGAGGCAGAGCCAGATGGATTACTGTGAATTCGAGTTCATGCCGGTCTACAGAGTGAGTTCTAGGACAGCCAGGGCAGTGTAGAGAGTCCCCCATCTCAAACAACAAACAAACAAACAAGAATCAGGAGAACATTACATGCGTGGAGACTGATGGCAAGGGATTTTGTATGAGGTACAAAGTCATAACTAAATTCTAGTATTTAAAAAGAATCATGAGCGGGGCGGTGGCACACGCCTTTAATCCCAGCACTTTGGAAGGCAGAGGCAGGCGGATCTCTGTGAGTTCAAGGCCAGCCTGGGCTACCAAGTGAGTTCCAAGAAAGGTGCAAAGCTACACAGAGAAACCCTGTCTCGAAACACCCCACCCCACCCCACCCCACCCCCCAAAAAAAAAGAAAAAAAGAAAAGAAAAGAAAATGGATAGACCGAGCTGGCAACACTAGAGTTATCTCCTGTGCCGTGTGCCTAGAGGAATTCCAGACGCCCATCACATAACTGTCAGAACCAGTGGATGTGTACAGCGATTGGATAGACGCCTGCGAGGCAGCCAATCAGTAGCAATATCAAGGACCTGCCCCCTCAGCAGCCCCCCGACTTGGGTACCAATCCAGAGACATTCCAGGGCTCCAGGGTGTGTAGGTCCAGGACCGTGACAGCCCTCCCCCTGTGTGTGGAGTGGATGTGAATGAGGAGACGTGTGTGTAGCTGCAGACGTGGCTGTAATGGTGTCTGTGAATGCTTGTAGGTTGGGTGGAGGTGAGGGGTTGCTGCTCTCACCATGCAGCCCAGGGTGGCCTCAAACTTGAGAACCTATGCCTCAAATGACTCCGAAAGCCTTTGAGTTGCCCTTCTTCAGCCCACACCCCGGCCCCAAGCTTTAGGTTCCTGGCTCTCTGGTGACAGTTTCCTGACATCTCAGGCAAGGAATAGCTGTGGGACCTCCAGTCTCCTCAGCCACCTCACCAACGCCTTGCCCAGGGGAACTGGACTTCCCATCCTTCCCAGCCTGTGGTCTGGGAGTCAAGGCTACAGACCAACCAGGTCCTTCGGCTGGGCTTTGCCGGGGAGCCCGTTTTCCTGCTCATTTGCTTTTGTAGAAAAGGTAGGGGTTGGTTCCGGGACAGCTGTCACTCACAAGCCTGTCAATAAAGCAGCCGGTTTGGAAAAAAAAAAGAAAAGAATCTTGTTATTTAATCCCCAGTACTGAAAATACAGAAAAATGAAGTGGATATTGGGGAAAAGTACCAGAGATAATTTTACCTTAGTTAAAAAAAAAAAAAAGTGTTTTACAATAAGTATGCACAATTTACTGAAATGACATTGCAAAACCAATGATTCTGTACAGTTCTGAAACTAATAGAGAGGTGCTTTCAGGCAAATTATTCTATTTGAAAATATGGACAGGGCTGGAGAGATGGCGAGGCAGTTGAGTCCCAGCTGCTCTTCTAGAGGGAGTGTGTGTGTGTGTGTGTGTGTGTGTGTGTGTGTGTGTGTGTGTGTGAAGTTCGATCCTAACCTAATTAGTTTTATTAAATAAAAAGCCCAGAGTCAGATATTGAGGGTGAAAGCTGAAAGATCAGAGAAGCAGTAAACGAATCTTCAGACCGAATGGGGGCCCAGATCCTGTCTCTACTCGCCTTATATTCCTGTCTCCATCTCCCTAGTGCTGGGATTAAAGTCCTGCACCACCACTGCCCAACTCTGTTTCTATTTAGACTGGTTCAATCTCCTGTAGCCCAAGAGTGGCCTTGAACTCCTGATCTTCCTGCCTCTTCCTCCTGAGTTTTGGGATTAAACGTGTGTGCCATCACTGCCTGACCTCTATAGTTACCTAGTGGTTAGCTCTGCCCTCTGATCTCCAGGCAAGCTTTGTCAGAACACAAACAAAATATTATATGTGTGTGTGTGTGTGTGTGTGTGTGTGTGTGTGGTTGTTTTTTTTTCAACTTGACACAGGTAGAGTCCTCTGGGAAAAGGAAATCCCAACTGAGAAAATATCTCCATCACATGAGACTGGCCTGAAGGTAAGCCTTTGGGGATATTTTCTATATTAATAATAAATGTGGCCGGGCGGTGGTGGCGCACGACTTTAATCCCAGCACTCGGGAGGCAGAGCCAGGTGGATCATTGTGAGTTCAAGGCCAGCCTGGGCTACCAAGTGAGTTCCAGGAAAGGCACAAAGCTACGCAGAGAAACCCTGTCTCTAAAAAACCTAAATAAATAAATAAATAAATAAATAAATAAATGTGGGAGGGCCCAGTCTGCTATAATTTATTTTAAAAGGGCAGAAGGAGACCTTGGAGCCGAGGGGCCCCAGAAAGTCACATCACACGAGAGAACTCACGTGGAAGATTTATTGGGGAGACAAGACCTGAGGAGAGAAGAGAAGGAGGCAGAGACTGGTCCCTGGGGACAAGCGCAGTGGAAGAGAAAGTAGACGGGAGGTGGACAAGGCCCCCCTTTTATAAGGGAACATGGTGAATGGGCACAGGGTGCTTGTCGAGGCTGCAGCTGAGGACATCCTGTCAGGACCCTGAGGGCAGGCCGACACCTGAATGCTAACACATCCCCCTGTGGGTAGTGCCACCTCTGGGCAGATGGCGCCAGGTGGTATAAAAAAGCAAATAGAGTAAGTAGCCCATGGGGAAGAAGCCAGTAGGAAGCATCCCTCCATGGCCTCTGCCCAGTGCCGACCCTGACTTCCCTCAGTGATGTACTTACTATAACTGGGACATGTGAGCGCCAAACACGCTGTTTCCTCCGCAAGTTGCATTTGGCCATGATCTTTTTTGTTTGTTTTTCAAGATAGGGTTTCTTTGTGTAACAGCCCTGGTTGTACTGGAACTCACTTTGTAAACCAGGCTGTCCTTGAATTCACAAAGATCCGCCACCTGCCTCTGCCTCCAGAGTGCTGGGATTAAAGGCATGAGCCACCACACCTGGCTGGCTTTGGTCAGGGTCTCTATCTATCACAGCAACTGAAAGCAAACATGGACCGTGTGTAAGTGAAAAGCTTCCCTCTAAATTACTGTGGAGTGCTGGTTCTCATGATCATTCATTGGCAGGTTTTGGTCTCAGAAGAACAGCGAAAACTGTAGCAGGGCTAGTCTTAAATTCTTTGATCTTGGGGTTGGGGATTTAGCTCAGTGGGTTCGGTCCTCAGACCCTGGTTCGGTCCTCAGCTCCCAAGGGGGGAAAAATTCTTTGATCTACAATACACGTCAAGGAGAAATAATGGCTATGCACTTGCCAGTCATGGCAAAAGACACATTACCTATTAGTGAAATTCACACCCGTTATGGAGACCTTCCTAGACACATTGTAGTCACCAGACTGCCTAAAAGAAAAACAAAGACAAAAAAGCAGGAGAACACTGGGAGAGGAAAGTAGCTGGCTACATGCAGGGCACAGGGAGTCGGTGTGGATGGCTCAGAAAAAAACTAAGGAACTAAAGGAACTGTCTTAAACTGTTGACAGAAAATAAAACCACCCTGCTTTCTCTATCTAGTGTAAATCTTTCACAAGTGGAGGTGACGAAATCAGAGTCCCTTACATGCCTTCAAAAACACGCTGACAGGGACTGGCTTTGGAGAGCAGCGGGGCCTCATACAGGTGCGGGGCTGTAAAGTGGAACAGGCTCTCAAGCAAGCAAATTGAATTTTTTTTAAAAGATAAGTGGAAGTTGAACATCAAGGTACAAGCCTGGAATCCCAGCACTTGGGAGGTAAAGGCAGTAAGATCAGGAGTTCAAGGCCAGCCTGAGTCACATGGTGAGTCACGTTAGGCCAGGCTGAACTACATGAGACCCTATCTCAAAACAGACTAGAAGGAAAGCTGGACACAGCGGTGCATACCTGTATGCCTATGACTTTGGTACTTAGATGGAGGCAGAAGGATGAGGAATTAAGGCAGCCTTATCCATACAGTGGGTTTTTGGCTACCTTAAAACTTAACCAAACACTAAATATATCAAAACATTAAACACCTATAGGAAGAGCTAGCATTTTTTTTTTTTTTTTGTACACCTGTGGTCCCAACTTTGGAAACAAGACAAAGGGACACTTGGCACAGAAAGCCAAGAACTCCTGGGAACATGAGATAGATTGTGTTTCAAAATGTAAGTGAGGCTGGGGATGATACACCTTTAATCCCAGCATCGGGAGAGTAGAGGCAGGTAGATCTCGGTGAGTTCAAGGCCAGTCTGGTTTACACCATGAGACCCTGTCTCAAAAAAACAGAAAAGAGTAAAGGCTGAGCTTGGTGGGGCGCACGCCTTTAACCACAGCACTCGGGAGGCAGAGGCAGGCAGATCTCTGTGAGTTTTCATTAGCCTGGTCTGTATATCAAGTTCCAGCTAGGGCAACACAGAGAGACCCTGTCTCAAACTCAATAAGATAAATAAAAGAGCTGGGTATGTAGCTCAGGAGTAGCGTGCTTGTCTAATATCTCCAAGACCCTAGGTTTTATCCCCAACACCAAAATAAACAAAATATAATAAACAAAATACAGCAATCATCCTACTTCTAAGGTTTTTGTCTTTGAAGATGTTACTGCTTTCTTTCCAAATACCATCAGAGGGTGGGTAGGGATGGAAGTGGCTGTGGGCTACATCTACCTTCAGACCCCCCACATGGGGCTTAATCCAAAACGCTTGGAGAGAAAGAGCCTCTACCAGACAGGAGCGTGGACTGTGAAGTTCAAGTCTGTTCTGCTCCTGGGGATGGAGGGACTGCTGCAGGGGGGGAAGGGTTGGAAGATGTCTTGGTTGAAGCTCAGGCAAGGGTGTGGACTCAGGCAGGCGCCACCAGGCCTGTCTCGATTTTTTATGGTAATCAAGGAGCCAGGTTCTTCCTGAAGCTAGTCATCAGTTTTCCACTTTCCCCTTGTGTTACAGGCAGCACCCAGGGACTTGGGCACGCTCAACATGGGCTCCGTGGCTCAACGACACCCCCAGCCCTGAACTGCTCAGTCTAGATCAGAAGAGAACGTGCTTCTCTAGGCATTTGCAAGCATGGGTCAGGAGGTCAAGTAGCAAAATCGACAAGTACAGAGGCAGAACATAGCAGAAACAAACTCTTCTCTGCATTGATCTCTCTTTCTGTTTTTTTTTTTTTTTTTTTTGCAACAGGGTCCAACTAAGTTTAAGTCCAGGTTACCCTGAACCATGGTCCTCCTGCTCTGCCTCCTGAGTATGGAGATTACAGGTGTTTACCACCTTGTTTGGCATGATCCACTCCTGCCCCCATCAGTTCTGTGTTTCTAGGAAGGAACTGGGAGAAGCAGGCTTGAAACAATGCAAAGTTTGCCACACATTCCTACCAATCTGTTTGCACTCCGATTGGTAGATATTCTTTTCCCTCCCCCTCCCCCATGTCTATCTATCTTTTTTTTTTTCCTTTTTTTTGTATTGTGGTACACACCTTTATTATTACTATTATTATTATTATTATTATTATTATTATTATTATTATTATTAGGAGCTCAGGACCGAACCCAGGGCCTTGCGCGCTTGCTAGGCAAGCACTCTACCACTGAGCTAAATCCCCAACACACACACACCTTTTTTTCTTTCATTAATTTTAATTTTTTGAGATGGGTTTTCATGCAGCCCAAGCTGTCCTCAAACTTACTGTGTAGCTGAAGATATCCTTGAGCTTCCTCCTCTCCTGCGTCTGTAAGTCCCCTGCCGGGTAGGAATGAGGCCATATGTTGGTGCTGGAGTAATCCTCCTGCCTCAGCTTCTCCAGTGCTATACGCCATGCCTGGCTTCAGTTTTAATTTGTGTGAGTGTGTGCTTAGGTCCTAGGGATTTGACCTCCCCTCCCTATGTTTACACAGCAAGCATTCTTCCGTGATGAGCCATCTCTCCAACCCCAACACCCGCTTGATGTTGTTAGTCTTTATAATAAGACACAGGATGGAACATAGGACAATCAGGAGCTTACACACTGGAGACTGAACTTCAAAAACTGTGATATACAGGAACAGCAACCTGAGTGCTCTCACGGAAGCAACCTGTAATGAAAATGAAATTCTCAACCAAGTGTGATAGTATGTCGGTAACCCAAGCACTTGGGAAATAGAGGAAGGAGGCTCAGAAGTCTGTGGGAGCCCACAGATGTTTCCTAGTGAGATCTGAGCTTGCTTTACCTAGCAGGGCTGCATAAGGGATAGAATGACCACGTGTGTGATTACCAGGTGTTTGGAAGAGTCTGCACTTGGCTGTGCTAGGGGGGAGGTCTTTTGCTCCACCCCTTGGCATTTCTATAAATAGCCCTTTAGATGAGACAGAAGGGCTGGTGGGTTTTGATCCAGGCCCTCCTGAGGCTATCCTGTCTTTCTGTCTGTCTCTGCCCTATTTCTATCTAAACGTTTCTCACTTTTCCCTACTCAAGAGTACCCTGGGGAAAAAGTGGGGGCAGGCCTCCCCCAGAAGTCCAAGGCCATCCTTGGCTACCTGAAAGTTCAAGGCCAGACTGAACTGCAAGAGACCATGTTATCAAAAAAGTAAACAAGAGAGGAGGGGAGGGGAAGGGAGGAGAAGGGAAGAAAGCCAAGTCCTTAGGACCTTCAGGGTGGGCTTGTGCTTACTCATTCCTCATCCCCTCCGGTGACATCAATAGGGTTGCTGCCCACGAAGCGTCCCCACACAGAAAAGCCTAAAATGGATCCTGTAGCTACAAGGTATTCATGCACCGTTGGATAAACTGAAATTTTCCATGTCAGGTGGATGTTAAGATTTCCCAAGTAGCAACTGTAGTTTTCCAGTTACTGACTGGAGTCTGTTTCATGGCTAGCGGCTCATATGTGTAATCCTAGTTACTTGGGATGCTAATTGGAAAAACCGCACGTTTGAGGCCAGCTTGGACTACAGTGTGACCCTGTCTCAGAAACCTCCAAGTAAATATTAAATAAAGAGGTACAAATAAAAAATAAAAGTTAAAGAAGACTGAGGGTTAGCAGTACAGCACTTGCCTAGCATGTGGAAGGTCCTGAGTTCAAAACCCAGTTCTACAAAAGTCAA